GTGTATGTGTGTTTGTAGTACAAGTGCATTTGGTGTGTATGTGTGTGTTAGTACAAGTGCATTTGGTGTGTATGTGTGTTTGTAGTATAAGTACATTTGGTGTGTATGTGTGTGTTAGTACAAGTGCATTTGGTATGTGTGTTTGTAGTACAAGTGCATTTGATGTGTGCATATGTGAAGTACAAATGCATTTGTTGTATGTGAGTTAGTACAAGTGCATTTGTTATGTGTATGGATTAGTACAAGTGCGTTTGTTGAGTGTGTATGTGATAGTACAAGTGTATTTGCTGTATGTGTATAAATAAACTAATTCCCTTTTCTTTTCTTCTTTGGAGGATCTTAGTGAATTCGGGATAGCACCTAAAGCTATCGTTACCACAGATGATTTTGCTTCCAAAACCAAAGACAGAATACGGGAGAAAGCCAGGCAACTGGCAGCCGCTGCGGCCCCCATTCCTGGAGCCACGCTGCTTGATGATCTCATCACGTCGGCAAAGTGAGAAGGGTTTCTTCATTCCTGGCCTTGGTGCTTTGCACACATGTGGTGATCTTCCTCAGGGATGGCTCAGCTACAGGCGCAGATGTTGTCTGAGTTTCACCCAGAATGTCTCCCTTGATCGTTGCAATGGAATCCTCTGGAGTTCTAGCTTCCAGTCAGCCACTGGGGTCTGTGGCTGGAAGGCAATTATTAGGAACTGGGGTGACTTCCCTTCCTCACAGGCCTGTACCCTCCCTCCCTCTCTCTCTACCCACCTCCCCTCCCCTCCCCCTCCCCTCCCCCTCTTACTCCCTCCCCGCCTTCCCTCCCCTCCTCCCCTCCTTTTCGTTTTTTTCTCCTCACCCCCAGCTTGAGGACAATTTTATTAGAGTTTAAAAGATACGGTCCCTTCCTACAAGCAAGGTGTAGGTCCTGGTGGCTGCCTAGAGAAGGAGAACAGAGGAGAGAATGAAAAAAACAAAAAACAAAAGCCATACCCTTAAAGCTAGCATGGAGAGCAGACACACGGTGCTCGGGAGGGGAGCCTCTGAGAAAGAATAAGGAGGCCCAGAGTGTTGGCGAAGCCCGAAGTACTAGGGAAGGCATAGCGTACTTAGAGAAGAGAAGAGGTTAGCTTTTCCCGGTGACGTGCGCAGACTCACGAAGCTGCATGGCTGTCACCCACTTTTTTTTTTTTTTGACAGATACATCATGTCTATTTAACAAAACAACAGCAGTGGCTCTCCCCCAACCCCTGCCCAGGGCCTGTGACCCACCCTCCACAGTCTTGGGCTTTTGATCGGATGTGACTTCTCTCCTGTCAGGCAGGCATCCGATCCAATCGGAAAGCAGTTTGGTGCCCCGTAATGTGTGCCACAGATGCCATGACACATGACCCCATGCCACTGCTGCACCAGCGGGCTCAGCTGCCCAGCTGGGTGGTTTTAACACAGTGCATGGCTGAGTAAGACACATTGTCCAGCAGCCTGTGCAGCCCCTCCACTACTAACTATAACTACCCAACAGCCCCTCCACCACTAACTATAACTACCCAACAGCCCCTCCACCATATAACTATAACTACCCAACAGCCCCTCCACCATATAACTACCCAACAGCCCCTCCAGCACTAACTAACTACCCAACAGCCCCTCCACCACTAACTATAACTACCCAACATCCCCTCCACCATATAACTACCCAACATCCCCTCCACCGCTATAACTACCCAACGAGGAGGAAGCTTCGAACCCAGTTCCAGTTTGCTGTCTGTGTCCTGTGACCACAGCATGGTGGGTTCAGAAATGGAGTCTTACGAGCTAGTTTTGGTGGGCATCCAAAAGCAGTGGCAATTCCTCTATTGTTTTGGGGATCTCACAGGCCTCCTTGGCCAACACCTAGGGAGGTTGCCCATCCCAGCACTGGGATTTACCTTTAGAAACTAATGTTTCTAGGAGCAGCTTTATCTTTCCACAGAGAGTACCTCCGCTTATAACTTTTATCTATTTATTTATTTATTTATTTATTTATTTATTTATTTATCTATTATCCGCTTGATACAGTACAATTCTTGTCCTAATAGTGCAGTGTTTCACTGAGGCTTGCCCAGTGATTGAGTGAAACCAAAACTTACTATAAGCCACAGTCATCCTAGGGTCCCCCTGCTATGTAGCCTCCCTGGTTCTGTGGGTTGCAGTCTGATTGTTCTTTGCTTTATATCTAGCATCCACTTATGAGTGGTCACCCAACTTTTGATTTCTGTGTATTTTGTCTTCTGTTCCTGGTATCCCGGGGCCATAGGCTTCCGTGACAAGGACTACCCAGAGTCGCTATAGACACGTCTCAAAGGCCCAAAGAAGCAGATGTGTGTTTCCCCTAGTGCAGATGTGCTCCCAAGCCCAGGCTAGCCCACAGGCTTGTGCCATTGTGTTGTAACTGCGGGTGAACCAGACAAGACAAGCAGAGGATCAGGCACTGCCCATTCCCAGTGAAGTTCACTGTCCGTGTTTCCATGTCCTGTCTAGAATGTCCATTGGCTTTGAACTGCTGAGAAAAATGGGTTGGAAGGAGGGACAAGGAGTCGGCCCCCGGGTGAAGAGAAAGCCGCGCAGACAGAAACCAGGTAAGGCCATGCACCGACTGTGGCCACATCTGCAGTGCACAGTTTGGTGTGCTTGTTTGGTTTGGTTTTGTGGGACAGGGCTGCAGTGTGAAGTTTGGGCTGCCTGGGATTCTCAGCCTCTTGAATGCTAGCATTAGAGCGATGTGCCATGACACTTAATTATAGCATTTTTTCTTTTTTTCCCCAGAGACAAAGTTTCTCTGTGTAACAGCTCTGGCTCTCCTGGAACTCACTCTGTAAACCAGGCTTCCCTCAAACTCACAGAGAACAGGGATCCACCTGCCTTTGCTTCCTGAGTGTGAGATACATATTAGGATCTATTTACTAATAGTTAGGCATGGTAGCACATACTTTTAATCCTAGCCCTTGGGAGGCAGAGGCAGGTGGATTTCTGTGAGTTGAAGTCCAGCTTGGTCTGCACAGCTCCAGACTGGGCAGCGCTACATAGTGAGATCTTTTCTCAAAGAAAAAAAGAATTCTTTATTTAATTTGTGTATATGTGTACTTTCCTGGTGAGTGAGTCTGTGTCCCTCATGTGTGCAGGGGCCCTGGGAGGCCAGAAGAGAGTGTTGGAGCTACTGGAACTGGAGATCACAGATAGTTGTGAGCTGCCATGAGGTGCCGGGACTGAACCCATGGCCCCTGCATGAGTAACAAGTGCATTTAACCACTGAGCCATCTCTCCAGCCCTACAACATAGTTTTGAAAGCTGCATATTGCTAGAAACAGACTTGCTAAGTCAGGTGATGTGTACATATCTTAAGGTTTTAGGTGTAATGCATGGTAACTTCTGGAAGGATTGTACAAGTTCACATTCTCACCAGGAGTGTAAAAGTTTGCTTTCGAACCACACCTTAACTGAATCACAGAGTCATAGTTCAATATTATTATTTCCTCCTCCTCTTCCTCCCTTCCTCCCTCCCTCCCTCCCTCCCTTCCTTCCTCCCTTCCTTTATTCCTTCATTCATTCATTTTGGTGCTGGGGACTGAATCCTGGGCTTCACACATCCCAGGCAAGTACCACATGACTGAGCTACACTACACTTCCAGCTTAACATTATTTTCTGCTCTTTCCTTATGCTCCGTGTCCCCCGAATGTGAGTGAACTCTTTGAGGACAGGAGTAATTTCCTTTGTGTCCATGCAGTACATTATTGGAACACAGGTCGAGGTGGGTCTGTCATCCACCTGCGACCCTAAGGCCACAGCACCTTTCCAGGAGCAGTGGCGTGTCTCTGCACTTGTAGAGGGGTCAGTAACTTGGTGTCTGTTTTTAGTCGCTCATGACTGATGCCTTTGGGATCTCCTTTGTAGATCCTGGTGTTAAGATCTATGGCTGTGCGTTGCCGCCTGGAGGCTCTGAAGGGTCTGAGGTATGTTGCAGTAGAATGTGCTACTTTATGGTGGTGAAATTTTAGGATCACAAGCTGGTAATAGAGCCTAGCATGTGCAAAGCCTTGGGTTTGATCCCTGTCACCGAGAGAGAGAAAAACAAAACAACAACAACAAACCCCCCAAAACTGCCAGACATGCTGGTGCACACTCATATTCTGAGTCCTGGTAGGCTGAGGCTGAAAGAAAGGTCTTAAGGTCTAACCTGAGCTATATAGTGAGACTCTGCCTCAAAAAACAGTGAGATGGCTCATCGAGTAAAGGCATTTGCTGCCAAGCTCACTACCTGAGTTAGATCCCTAGAACCCACTATATAAGGAGAGAACCAGCTCCCACAAGTTGTCCCTTGACCTCCATATGCACTCTATGGCATGCATGCCTGTGTGCACATATATGCACACATAACTTCTCTTACACACATAAATAAATAAACCGATAAATAAATTAAATAAATGTAATTAAAGAATAAAATGCAACAACAACAAAAGATCCAGGCAGACAAAATACCTAAGCAAATAAGCAAACAAATAAATAGCAAGATCATAAGGAATTTTAGGAATCTGTCAGATTCCACTGTCATGAACTAGCCATACCTTAAAGCTGTCATTACTGTGTCAGCTGGTATGGTCAGCAACTTGCTAGCACCACAGATATCCCGACTCTAATTATTTATTGGTTGATTGATTGAGACAAGGCCTCACTATGATGCCCTGGCTGATCTGAAACTCACTGTGTAGACCAGGCGGGTGCCTATCAAGGTCAGAAGAGGGTGTCTGCCCCTGAGTTAGAGGCAGCCGTGAGCTGCCCAAGGTGGCTCTTCTGTGAGAGCAGTCCATCTCCCAGCCTCTGTGTAGTCTCACCATGACGTTGCTTTTGCTAGTATCATTTCTTCAGGGATGGGGCCTGGTCATTCCTGGCTGCAGAAACTCGAGTTTGGCAACTGTTCTGTTTGGAGTTAGTCACTGCACTGAGGCCGTGACGCCAGGCCTGACTCACTTAATTCTTTCTCACACACATGAATAGGACGAAGATGATGACTACCTGCCCGACAACGTGACTTTTGCTCCTAAAGACATCATGCCTGTGGATTTTACACCTAAAGATAACGTACACGGGCTGGCCTACAAGGGCCTGGACCCCAGCCAAGCACTGTTTGGAACACCAGGAGAACATCTGAATCTTTTTGGTGGACCATCTGAGGGGACCAGCCATCTTCTTGAAGATGTTAGATTGAGTAAAGGAAGAAAATTGGGAATTTCTGGCCAGGTAAAAGTTTCTGTATTTTACAAGCAGAAACACTGACAAATACACTTCCCATTGTGGGTCAGCCCCATATAGACACTTTGTTTATTCAGTGAGGACTTTGAAGCCCTCTCCTGCCCCATCCTCCTCTCTTTCTCTCTTTCTCCTCTCTCCCAGTCTGTCTCTCTCTTTCTGTTCCAGTGCTGGACTGGAACTCAGGGCCTTGCATACACTAGACGGTGCTCTTTCACTAAGCCATATGCCCAGCCCCAGGTTCTGTTTCCCAGAAGGTCCTTCCTGGGCATCTATGGTGTAGTCTTCCTAGTTTTGTTTTTAAGATTTATTTATTTGGGAGGAGGTGGGATCTGTGGGTGGTATGTAGAGTGAGTAGAAAATTTCTTAATAAAGAAAAAAATTATTTATTTATTATGTATACAATCTTCTTGTTCTGCTGCATGTATGTCCTGCAGGCCAGAAGAGGGCTCCAGATCTCATTACAGATGGTTGTGAGCCACCATGTGGGTGCTGGGAATTGAACTCAGGACCTCTGGAAGGGCAGCCAGTCCTCTTTGCCTCTGAGCCATCTCTTCAGCCCCCATCATGCCTTCCTAATTTTAATAATGGCGCCCACGAGCCTGTGCTGTGTTCTTGGTAGAAGCCGTATTCCGGTGGAGGACTGTTTTCCTCCTCTGTGTGGGGCCAAGCGGAAGGTCACCTTGCCGATGCTTTGCTTAGTCGGACTGCAGTCTGGGGCCTGCAGCCTGGCTCAGCAGATGAAGAGAGCCGCTTAGTTGTGAGTCAGGCCCCTCTGCTGCTGCACGCCTGGAGTCATGTTGACTTGGAGCTTGTTTGCTTTTGGGAAGACGGGGAGCTTTCAATTGCCCACCTTCTCAAATGGATTCACAGGTCCCTTTTCAAAGGAAAGCGGGTCAGGCAGTGGCGCACACCTTTAATTCCTGTACTCGGGAGGCAGAGGCAGTGTGTGTCTGAATTCCAGGCCAGTTTGGACTATATCAACAAGTTCCAGACCAGCCCGGCCTGCATAGTGAGATATGATCTCAAAAAAGAGTGAAGAAAAGAGAAAATGGTTTAGTTACTTTGTTTCATTGCCTTTTCCTCATTCTTCCAACAAAAAAGAAACTTTTTCAGGCTGTTTCCCACAGTCTTCAGACCCTGGCCATGCTGAGAGAGACAGATAGCCATGTCTGCCTTTCTCCTGTCAGAGCCTTGTTTCTGCCTATTCAGTGCTGTGTGGGTGTTCTTCACAGCTCTGCCCTTGCTTGTGCTGGGGGCTGCTGCTGAGGCCGGAGGCTTGTGGCTGAGCTGGAGTGTGGCATTCGCTTCTGGTCCTTGCTCTTCAATGGACTCAGGCTCCTCTAATCTGGAGTTTCCTCTGCTTCTCTCCCAGTGATCTGCAAGTGTCACGTGGTCTGCAGGGGCCTACCCTCATGCAGCTTCACCCTGCAGTGCAGACTGGCCTACCTACAGCCTGGGAGCTTTGTTTGAAACCTGGTGTTTTGCAGGCTTTTGGTGTAGGCGCTCTGGAAGAGGAGGACGATGACATCTACGCCACCGAAACTCTCTCCAAGTACGACACTGTGTTGAAGGATGAGGAGCCTGGGGATGGCCTCTACGGCTGGACGGCTCCCAAGCTCTACAAGAAGCAGAAAGGTAACCCTGGCCACTCGGGCAGTAGGCCTGCTTGTCGGGCCCTCGGGAGCAAGGGGTTGTAGGCTCTGGTACTGGAGTACCAAACTTTAGAGTAGGGCTTGTCAAAGATGCAGGATGTGGGGCTCGAGAGGTGGCTCAGCAGTTAGGGGCACTGGCTGCTCTTGCAGAGGACCTGGCTTGGGTTCCCAGCACCCACATGGTTCACAGCTCCCTGTGACTCCAGTTCCAGGGGATCTCATGCTCTCTTCTGGCCTTCACAGGTACCAGGCACACACATGCTGTACATACATACATTTATGCAAAACACCCATACACATCAAATAAGAATTAATAACTTAAAAAATATGCAGGGTAAGAAACATTGGAAGCTGGTATAGTGGCTTGTTCTTATAATTCTAGCACTTGGAAAGCCTCTGAGTCAGGAGGATTGCTGTGAGCCATGCAGTGAAGTCTAGGCCTGCCTGGCCTGCAGTGGATAGAATGTAAGAAAGAACTGGGCTTTAAGCCACAGCTCCAGGCAGCAGGGAACATGGGGTGTGCTGGGATCAGGGACCGGTGCTTTGTTGTGGTCGCAGAGTTCAGGGAGCTGGTGGGTGGCCGCGGGAGCCAGCTTAGAGAGCGGGTCAGAAGACCTGACTTGGGACCAAATGACAGGGCCAACAACCTGTAGCACAGCGGAGCTGGGCTTGGCCTGTCTCCCGCATCCGACATGGCCATCTCTCACCTAACGTTTCCTTTTAGTAACCTAGGCTGGTCCAGAGTTGTCCTCTTCCCGCCTCCACCTCCCAGGTGCTGAAATTATAGACTTAATTATTATAATTATTGGTGTCTCTCAACCAACTTAAATCTCAGGCCAGTCTGGGATTCAGATCCTATGCTTAGACTGGCATTCTAGTCCTGCTTTCTAGAAATGGTGCAGGGGAGTAGAAAGGATGGGGAATTGGGAGCATCTGATGGAGTCAGTGCCTAGGCTCTATCCCAGTACCTGCCCATCCCCATGCCCAAAAGATACATGATTCCACATCTTATAAATTAGAAGTGTTATGGTATTATATTAATAGTTGTGTGCTGATTTATTACTTATGTTATATAGTCAATGTTACAATAATATGTTACATGTTAATTATATAATAATGTAAAATACCAATTACTAATTGAGCATACTCTAGAAACTGATAGGAGAATGAAATTGATAATAGTTATCTTACTTTTATCAGTAATCAATATGTAAACTAACTGAATTAATAACCCCACTCTCTGTCTTAGAGCAGTCGGTAGTCTGTAGTGCTGTATATTCTAGCCTCCACTCTTCCTGAATATTGCGCCTCTGTCCTGCTGATGGGCTCCCCAGGAAGCCCGAGCTGCAGCTCCCTGAGTTCTGGACCTTCCCGACCGGAAGCTCCTCCCACAGTCTCTCTCTCTCTTCCGCTGCTCCCAGGGTCCCTCCCAAAGCCTGCACTTCTGACCACATGAGTCTGGGGAATTCTCTCTCTCCTTTTTAAAGTTGTACATGTTCCCTGCATGTGCTGTTTTCCTTTTGACCGCGTGAATAGATCCTCATTTCACCCAGTCTCTTGGGTGACTTTTAGGATTTTTTTTAATCTTCCAGCAATTAATGAGGCTGGAATGAATCTTATGTGTACCCACTCTGCAGAAAGTCATCTTGTGACTCACAGGCCCTTTGTCACAGGGTAGTGACAGCGAGTGGACTGTCCCCTGCTCCAGTCGAGGGCGTTGGTCACTCAGTTTCCTTACTTTGTGGTCTTTATCTACTGTTAGCATTTCGTTTGCAACAACAGTTTGTCCTAGGGCGAGCACACAGCTGACCTGATTGTGTTGCCTGGGAGCTTTATTTGTGCTGTTGCTAAGGAAACTGGGAGACAGCCACCCTGGGGCACTGGTGTGAGAAGTGACCCTTGGGTTAGGATTCTTCTTTTTACACTCCCATGACTTTCACCCTGAAGAGCAACCGAGGTCACTGTTGTTTGGTGGGGTGGGAGGGGACTGGTCTTGGGCTCCTGGTGAGGCGACAGGTCACGGTGGTGTCTGAAGACAATGCTGGGCGCTTGTCTCGGGAGGCCAAGGCTGCTGTCCAGGCGGCCGAGCCTCCAGTCACTCTGTCAACACAAGTGTGAGGGCTTGAATGCCATTCTGTCCCTCAGTGCTCCCTCCCAGTGATCTCACCGGGCACACTGCTTATGCTCTGGAAGATAAGGAGTCTTTTGTCTGCTCTGATCACCTCAACTTCTGGAATTAATCAGTGATTTCATTTTGTAGAACCAGAGAGAGATCTTCGATATGTTGGCAAAATTTTGGAAGGATTTTCCTTGGCTTCTAAACCTCTATCTTCAAAGAAAGTAAGAAAACCTTTACATTAAAATTATTTTCCTGGCTTGTGCTTACAAGTTTATTTTAATTTTTATGTATTCTTTTTTTAAATATTTATTTATAATATTAAGTAATCAATTGAGCTATATCAATGTACTTATGGACATTTAATATTTCTTTATGCATATTCTTCCTTTAAAACTCCTTTTTTTTTTTGTTTTGTTTTTTGAGATAGGTTTTTCTGTGTAACAGTCTTGGCTGTCTTGGATCTCGCTCTGTCGACTGGGTGGCCTCCAGCTCACAGAGATCCACCTGTCTCTGCCTCCCAAGTGCTGGGATTAAAGGCGTGCGTCATCACACCTGGCTCCTTGAAAACTCTTTTAGCAGAAAGCTGGTACACACCTGTAATCCTAGCACTTGGGAGCTGAGGCAGAAGAATCATATTCTGAGCCAACCCTGGAAACTGACCAAGCTCCTGTTTCAAAAAAGGGTGTGTGGGGGACACACGTCACGTAGCTCAGCCGGTAAAGTACTCAGGACGTGAATTCAGTTCCCAAACCCATGTCAAGAGAGCTGGTGTGGTGGCTGTCCTTGCCGTCCTGGGTGGAGGCCAAGAGGGGAGATGGCAGAGGCTCACTGGCCAGCAGTAGAGCCTCCTTGACAGGCTCCATGCCAGGGAAAGATCCTGTCATGGAAGAAGGTGGCTGGAGAGGTGGTCCCTCAGTCAAGATCGCTGGCTGCTCTTCCAGAGGACCCGGTGTGAGTCACACGTGTCTATAACTCTAGTTCCTGGGAATATGGCGCCCTCTTCTGACTTCTGGCACCAGGTGTACATGTTGTGGTGCACAGACACAGAGGCAAGACACCCATACACATTTTAAAAAGAAAAGAAAAGAAAAAAGACATTTCTACTAAAAGATAGGCCAGGAGTGTGGCCTAGTGGTTACAACAGACCCCCAAGCCCTTGCACCTTAATAGAAAGCAGTTCTGTTACTTTGAGATTAGCTTTGTGATTGGGGAATATTGCTCACGGGAGAGTACTCGCCTGCCATGTGTAAACAAACACACCTCCAGCAAAAGTGGTTTCCCGGCAGTTCTGATTCCACTGTGCCCCAGGGAACTGGAAACTCCTAACAGTAAGGACGGGGCGCAGACATCGACATGGTGAAGCACCCCTGGCCAGCGTGCACCTGGGACTGAGCGCTTCACCTGCTGCCCAGTTAAGAGATGCCTTGTTCCCCTTCGGGAAACTTCTAATTCTAGAAGTCAGTGTACATGCAACTGTTAATCTGTTTGTTATGTCAAGAGCAAGGGGACCATTCAGTAGTTACTTAAAATATCTAATGGCTGGGTATGTGGTGCACACCTTAATCCTAGCACCCAGGAGGCAGAGGCAGGCCGATTCCTGAATTTGAGGCTCTGCAGAGTGAGGTCCAGGACAGCCAGAGCTACACAGTATAATTCTATTTCCAAAAAAGCCTCTAAGGCTTAGGCTGGAATGTAGCTCAATGATAGAGACTGTGTACTGTGTGTGCAAGGTCCATCACCCCCCAAATAAACAACAGAACCCCACTTTCTTTTTAACTTTTCTGTTCTGCAGTCATTAATGTCTTCCGAATCATAAATCCCAGAATCTCACCAGTCTACGTAAATTTCAGTTTTGTCGACTTTTCTCTTCCTCCCCCATCTCTTTCACCCTGAGGTCGGGACCTTGCACGCTAGGCAAGCACTTTAGCTCTGAGCTACACCCTAGCTTGTCGTTGTTTTGTGGTTTTTTTTTTTTTTGGGGGGGGGGTGGTTCCAGAGGATTGAACCCAGGGTCTAGTGACTACAAATACTGGAACAGAGCCACATCCTCAGCCCTTTTCAGTGTCTGAATTAAAAACATACTTTGAATTAAGGAGTTAAGTCGGGGCAGGAGACTGGAGAGATTGCTCAGTGGTTAGAGCACTTGTTGCTTAACATTGAGGAGCACAGTTTGGATCCTAGCACCCACAAACACCTGTAGCACCAGCTCTAAGGGGTCCATGTCCTCGCCTGGCCTCGCAGGTACATGCACACACGGCGCACACACACTTACACAGCAGACACACACAATCACAAATAAAATAAAAACACATTTTTAGACATGAAGATCTCAAGTTTTACTTTAGAAGTGAGCCATAGCCTGAATAAAGAGTTTTGAATTTAAAACTATGTAATTTCAGGCTTTTTTCAGTCTTGAGTCACACATTTGTAACGTTGTATCTTACAGCGAGTGGGCTGGGTGTGCACGCGGCACCGGACACTGTGCTGTGTCCTCTCATCTTTAGTGTTCTCAGCATGGCAAACAAATACCAGCAGTGGCGATGTCTGCAGGGTGGGACCCCTGGGACGGTGGTTCTGGTGCCCTGAGGGGCCAGAGTATTGCGCTGCTGTCCGCCTCCCCAGTGTACCCGGGCTGGTCATGGTTTTTATGAAGTCTGTGTGCTCTCGCAGCCTGGATTCCTGACTCCTGTTTTGTCTGGTTTTGTTAAGATTTACCCACCCCCTCAGCTGCCCAGAGACTATCGACCGGTGCATTATTTCAGACCTGTGGTCGCCGCGACATCCGACAATGCTCACTTACTTCAGGTGTTATCAGAGTCGTCTGGGAAAGCAGGACAGGACTCGGGGACGCACAGTCGGCATCAGCTCAATGCTTCCAAGCGGGGGGAGTTGCTAGGAGAGACGCCTGTTCAAGGTATGTGCAGTGAGGAGACTGAACTCGTTATGTTCGGCAGACCCTTGCTCAAATGGGGAGTTGTGGGTTCCCACCGACGGTCCTTGTATGCGTTTTGTAGTCTCAGGCTGTAAGATTATATATTATATATTCTGTATTATAGACAGCGTATGGAAGTGTACAGAGACTTTATTATTATTACCTGGGGGTAGTTGTTCTGTTTGCTGCTCCTCATTTTGCGTTTTAAGGTCTCACATAGCCCAGGATGGCCTTAAATTCTCGAGGAGGCCAAGGTTGGTTTTGAACTCTTCGTTCTGCTGCTTCTGTCACACAGTGCTGAGATTACAGGAGTGTGCCACTCAGGTTATTTGTTTTCTTTAAAAATTTTATTAAAATTGACTTATGTGTGTATGAGTATGCACATTCACGTTGGTGTCTGTGGAAGCCAGAAAAAGATGTTGGATCCTCTGGACTCGAGTTATAGGTGGTTGTGAGCTGCCTGGCATACATATCAGGTATTAAGAGCAGTAACTACTAAGCTATCTCTCCACCCCCTCTTTTTTTGTTTGTTTGTTTGTTTGTTTTTTGAGACTCTATGGGTCTCTCTATGCAGTCCTGGCTGTCCTGGAACTCACTGTGTAGATCAGGCTGGCTTTAAACTCACAGAGATCCTCCTGCTTCTGCCTCTCAAGTGCTGGGATTAAAGGCGTGTGCCAGTGCCCGGCCTCTTTCTTTTTGTTTTGTTTTGTTTTGAGACAGTTCTCACTATGTAGACCCCCACCAGCCTAGATTCTTTGTTTTGTTCTATCAACTGTTTGGGTCCTGGGGTTACAGATGTGTACTGCCATGCCTGGCACCTTCACTGTGTGTGCGCGTGCATGCGTGCGTGCCTGCCTGCCTGCCTGCCTGCCTGCCTGCCTGCCTGCCTGCCTGCCTGTGTGCCTGTGTGGAAGTCAGAGGACAATTTGCTGAAGTCAGTCCTCTCCTTCCACCATGTGGGTCCTCAGGATTGAACTCAGGTCATCAGGTTTGGTGGCAAGAGCCTTTACCCACTGAGTCTTCTCACCAGCCTGCTTATTTATTTAGAGACAAGAGACAAGACCTTAGTCTGTAGCCCAGGCTGGCCTTGAACTCATGATAATCCTGCCTTAGCCTCCCAAATACCAGAATTATAGGCATGGGCCATGGCTGTTTTTCCATAACAGTCCACAGCAGGAAGCTCTTTGGCTTCCTTCCCATCTCAGGAGTGAGAGGAAGGACCTTACCTGCATCATCCCCTGGACCCTGGGCCAGTGTCTACTGGGGAGTTGGTGCCCAGTGAGCTTGTATGATTTGAGTGCTCAGTGGGAGGACTGGAAGCCTGGACCTCAGCCACCTGTGCTTCTGAGTCCTCTTCCTGGGCATGGAACATATTCTAGGCATTTGCTCTACCTCAGTTGTGCCCATGGCCACCTCCATTTTTGTCACCTGCCTCATTATCATGTGACTATATAGTTCACAGGGATATATAAATATTGATGATAGCCGGGCGGTGGTGGCGCACGCCTTTAATCCCAGCACTCGGGAGGCAGAGCCAGGTGGATCTCTGTGAGTTCGAGGCCAGCCTGGTCTACCAAGTGAGTCCCAGGAAAGGCGCAAAGCTACACAGAGAAACCCTGTCTCGAAAAACCAAATAAATAAATAAATAAATAAATAAATAAATAAATAAATAAATAAATAAATAAATATTGATGAAACAGTAAGCATAAACTCATCTCTGATTATAGACTCTGGTGATAGCGACTGTGTACAGCAAAAGGTAAATCTATTTTTTGTCTCTTGTTAATTTTTATCTAGGATCAGCTACTTCAGTGTTGGAGTTTCTGTCCCAGAAAGACAAAGAGAGAATTAAAGAAACGAAGCAGGCAGCTGACTTGAAAGCAGCCCAGGCCAAGGCCAGGAGTCTGGCCCAGACCGCCTCCAGCCGCAGAGAACAGACCGCCATGCCGGACCCTGCCTACAGCCTGCGGCATCTGGCCCCGGGCAGTGGGACCGCCACCGCAAGGGCCAGCAACTTCAAGCCTTTTGCCAAAGATCCAGAAAAGCAGAGGCGATACGAAGAGTTCTTAGTACACATGAAGAAGGGTCAGAAAGGTGGGTGCTGGCCTGGTTGGGGTGGCAGCCTCTCTCCTCCTGTCACAGGGTGGAAGTCCGAACATCCTGATCTATCATCGGCTTTGCTTGTCTTGGTACCAACAGTGCAGAGGTTTTGGGCCCTCACATTTGACCCAAAAAAGCAAACACATGGTAGAAATATCCCAGCGCTGGGGTGTCTGAGGCATCAGGATCAATAGTTCAAGACCAGCCCCAGCTATGTAGCAAGTCCTTGTTTCAGAAATAAAAAGCAAAATAAAACAAAAATTACAGAAAAGGGGTAGAAAAAGAGTTTTTCTCCCAGCGCAGGCCATCGTTGGATGGACCAGTATCCTCAGCCAAACATCAGCTTTCCAGATCTCTCTGTACCGTGTAATAGGTAGAAGTCAATAAAAAGTGTCTCACTGAGTCAGGGCTGGGAGACAGCTCAGCAGTTAAGAACACTGGCTGCTCTTGCAGAGGGTTTGGATTTGATTCCCGGTGCCCACATGGCAGTTTATAACCATCCATAACTCCAGTTCTGAGGGATCCAACAGGCATACACATGGTGCACAGACATGCTTGTAGGCAAGAAAAAGAAACATCTTATGACAGAAAGAGGAATATTGCCTGGAGGTAGCGCCCAGTGTGCCCCATCTCCACACAAGGGTCTGGGTATTTGTCCTCCGAGGAAGTGAGCAGCACAGTGGTATCCACCCGATGCTCTCCTCAAGCACCACGTTTCCCTGGAGTAAAATGGTGCCTCGTTCCCTGTACCACAGATGCCCTGGAGCGATGCCTGGACCCCAGCATGACGGAGTGGGAGCGAAGCCGAGAGCGGGAAGAGTTTGCTCGGGCGGCGCAGCTCTACGTGTCCTCCCACTCCACCCTCTCCTCCAGGTTCACTCACGCCAAGGAGGAGGACGACTCGGATCAGGTTGAAGTTCCCCGAGATCAAGAGGTCTGTGGCCATCAGTGCCTACCTGGTGAATTTCATTTTGTTCTGCAGTTGTAGGATTGAGCTGAACCCAGGCTTTCATACATGTTGTGTACATGATCTAATCATCAGGCTACATTCCCAAGCTCTCTAGTCAATTTTAACTAACTAATTAATTTGTGTATGTTTATTCATATGGATGTGTACACTGTGTCTTAGGTACATTTGCATGTGTGTGTGCACACGTGTGCATGTGCCTAAGGTCAACATTGAATGCCTTTCTCAATTCCTCTGTAACTTACGTAGTTTTTTTTAAAGATTTATTTATTTATTTATTTATTTATTTATTTATTTATTTATTTATTTATTTATTTATTTATTTATTATGTATACAGAAGAGGGTGCCAGATCTTATTACAGATGGTTGTGAGCCACCATGTGGTTGCTGGGAATTGAACTCAGGACC